CTGAAAAAACACTCTCTTTCTCACACACAAAACACTGCTTTTGCCACCTAAACGTCTCTTTTGAGAAGAGAAGGCGCTCTGCTGAAGGCCTGTGGAGTCAGAGGGGTTGATGTGCCATCATTGCTCACTGATTGTGGCTCTCAACACGAGATGATCTGAGTCAATAGACTCGCGGCTCACTCACAGATTAGACATCTAATCAAATTCACCCGCGTTTGTTTATCGCTCGCTATCGTGGGCTATCATGTCAGTCTGGAACGCTCCACAGCTGAGACAAAACGAGGGCACATCACATGATGTAGGCTAAGATTATGAACCCAGACTTTGTGATATGGACCATAAAGGTTAATCAGGTTTTCCTGAAAAAATAATATCATGATCCATAATGCTGATTCAGTTTTAACAGGCACCTCATGCAAGTCTTTTTTGGTTTTGAGCAAAATATAAAAGAGCTTTTAATGTCTTGTGTCCAAATAATGGTAATTACTGTCCACACAATGATTGCTAATCATACTATAAAGCCAGTGTAACTAGCAATAAAGATTAACACACATGCACCGACACATTCAAAAAGCTGACGGCACTCTAAGACACTGCAACACGTCCGAAACATAATACTCCTCTTCTTTAATCGTAAAAGCGTATAACCAGCCAGTGCTAAACGCTTCCAGCTCATTTCTAATTTGTTCGTAATTGCACTGAGACAAGTAAACCATTGCACAGTGAGAAGTTATTTCCTGGAGCTGGACGGCTAAATTACAGACAAATGTTTCATGCGATTAGGACACTCTAATTGAACATGTGACAAAGAATAGAGCGGCAGAAGTGTATCAAGTGCATAGGAAACGGGTATTTACATTTGTTACGGCCTAATATTATTGCATTCTTTATGCTTTAATCACATTGAATTCCTTTACGATTATTGTCTCCCTCCAAATTGCCATATATTTGTTTTTCTTTCTATCATGAGAGAGAGAGTGAAAATTAGCCAGGGCCTCATTGTAACTGATCTGCTCTGGACGCCTTGATCAATGCACTGGTCACATGTCTCTCCTCAGCTGGACTGAGAGAGCGAGCAGTGTAGTGTGTGTGAAGTGCTGCCCCTGCACTGTGAGGTCTGTGTGTGTTTTATTAGTATTGCACTTGTGCGTGTTTGCTGTAGGTTTAGCCCGACTGCACCTGCCAGACCTGCACACACACTACAAATTATAGCACTCGTTTCTTTCTCTCACTCACACTGTTCTAAAAAAAAAAAACTTACGGTCATTTCTAAAATCGTTAGTGGCCTACAGCTGAAATCATTAGCTGGTCACCTGTATGTTTCTAATGGGGTCATTACAGAGGTGGCCCTGCACCCGGCCTCTAATCGCGAGCGTGTTATGGGGCAGCTGTTTCCAAAACACTTGTTTCTCTGTGTTACATTCCAGCATGCAGGCGTCAACTGAGATAGAGCAGAGCGAGACCCTGTAAATCAGGTGTGTTTTGTGATTCGGTGAGTGTTTTAATGTATTTACGAATACAGGAAATGTTTTAAACTTGCATGAACAACTTTTTTGGAGCGGCCAAGTGCCATTTCTGTACCGTCCAGTGTCGTTGTTGCATATTTGGTCAGATTTGCAACATGTAAAAATAGTATGTATCCCGCCATGGCACTCTCTCTTTAAGCATGCAAGGGATTTTGGGACGGTGCGGAGAGAAAAATGCTTTGTTACATTTTATTTAATTTTTTTACAAAGCCTGTGGGTCTGGACTTCATTAGTCTGACCCCTCCTTCTCCCCCCAGCGGACAAAACAGAGGCGACATAATTCACTTTGCCAGGTTTTACAGTGTAGGGGTACGGAATCGGTGAAAGGGTCAATCGAAATCTGTTCCCCAGCTGTGCGGCCCTCTCACTCACCCCTAGGCCCAGAGAGAACGAACGAAAGAGAGAGAGAGAGAGAGAGAGAAATGCTCGGGGGGAGATGGACCCCACAAACGTACCCCCGAGCTGCCTGAGCATCACAAACCTGTTCCGCCAACTCCATCTACATCTATCTAGATAGCGAAGCAATGCAAACAAGTTTACACTGTATGAAAATTTGCTCTGAACTGTGATTACAATGTGGGTAATAATAATGGGATCATGCGTCAATCCTCATTTTTGCAGTTAAAATTGAATGCAGAATCCCAATGTGTCTGAATAATGACTTTCCTTTTTTTTACTCTGACAGCACTAATCCAAAAAAAGGTTGCACTTTACACCAAGCTCACCCCTTATACACCTACCTATCACCACCACAGCCAACACATGGTAGGTACAGGATCACATTAAGGATTAAAATAAAATTAAGCTCTCACTTTTGCTTCTTTTGTCTAGATTCACTCTCTTCACTGTCTCTTCCCAGAACACCCATACTGCACCCATAAAACTGATATCCTGCCATCACTGTATATTTGAGATTAAAATGGAGCACTAAATCAAAAAAAAAAATGTTGTTGAAAAATGTGAGAGTGAGAGAGCAAGAAAGAGAGAAAGAGAATAGATTTAAAGTAGAAGCAGAAGAAGAGGTGCGTATTTATTTTACCTGAAAGTTAACTAAAGCATTCATGGGCTAATACAGAAATGTGCAACATATTAAGGATTATAAACACACTAGGCCTAGTTGTTATCCAAAAATTAAGAACTATTTTTAAACATTTATTTTTAAATCTTTTAGTCTTAGTTTAAGATGCTATCGTGACACTTTCGCTATACGTTTGTAAGGAGCTCGCAGAATGTTGTTGTGTATGAGGATGATAATTGGCTAGTGCAAATTATGTATTATGAGGGAAACGGTTTGGTATTAACATTTACAAATGACTTTTTCTGCAGCCCTGCTACATGATGAGAAAGCACGGCTCGTTATCACAACTTTAAGCATGAAACTACTATAAAACGTGCGATAATTTTGACCGATTTAAAAAAAAAAAAAAAATGCACATAAAACGTGCTTTTTCTTGTCACATTGCATATGGACTTTTTGTATGCGATATGCATTGAAACTTACATTCAACGCGACTTTTTTCTCCCCAAAATAAATAATTCAAGAAGTGAGTTTATCCCATGTAGGGTAATTAGATGCCCAAAGACTCTGCATTTTTGTCTCTAATTAAAATCATAGTAAAACATCAACAGCTTCGACTGCAAATAGCCCACTGGTGAACAAGGTGTTCGCGACTTTTTTCATGTTAGCGCATATGAAAGGCTGTGAATGGACAGGTGATTTCGGCCACTTGCACACGGCAGCTGGCCTCGGTGTAAGTTTGAAACATCAACTTTATCCTTCACAATATGCAATATTAATATACCACGGGGACTTAGCTATCTCCGAACGTATTCAAGGGAATCACGAAAACATGTAAACGCAGCATATCCCTCTTAGTAGGCTACATGTTTTAATGAACTGTAAGATTATTTGTACATTAAAAACGCCTCGAAAGCTTATATGTCCTGAAGATGTTTTGATTTCAGGATGCATACTTTTCCACACACCAGCAGAAAATAACAACCCGTCTCATTAACTACATTTTACTGCTCAATTTAGTATAAATATCACATAAAATTGTATTTAGATGTTAATTAATTGTAGCCCGCACGTTTGGCCTTGCTGCAGACAAATTAAATGTATAGCCCATGATAAATAAATGTATAGGCCTACATAAAGTTTTTAATTTAGCTCAAATAGGCTATGCTAAAAAAAATCAATAGCAGTAAATTAGCAAATCACCTTAAGTCCTTGACCGTTTTCTCTGTGCGTTTATGAAGTCAGAAAAATAAAATAAATTGACATTTTGCTCCAAAAACACACACGTAGGCCTATATTTTTTTTAAAAAGGAAAAAAAAGCGCGCCCGTCCTATTACATAATTTTTCAGAATTAGTGTGATGCTCCCTGTTCTTCCCTCTCCTCCTATTTATTTTTAAACAGTTTTAACATGATATCACGGCCAATATAATAATCATTTTGAGCCGCTATCAGAGTTTTTTTTAATGCTCACGCAAATGTTGTCACTCTGCGTAATTTTTTTACAAGACAACTTGAGTGTAACCTTTACACATTTCTCAAAATCCCAGGTCTTTCTTTGAAGGCTGAGACAGAACAGCACACATTGTTTCAACATCTTTCCAGAACCCATAGGAGAGTAGACTACCTATAAGCGGAGGAACTCACAGTCCTAAAACTAACTTTGATTCAAGCGCAAATGGTTTGGAAACTGGTTTGGTTTGCATTACACTATTGAAAAACACGCATGGTCGGTTTGACTTTTCTGTTTGTGAAAAACAGGCCTAATCGTTTTGTCTACGACAGCGTAATAACCTCACAAACACGTTTTCGACACTTTCCGCATTTATCTGTTATATTCTGTAACGTAGGCTACCAGATAAATAAGATAAAGCCTATCAGAATAAATAATTTAAGGTCCCTTTTAATCGACTATTTCAAGGGCGCTCAATGTATTGCATATTTTATTTACAAACAAGCTATAAACTCATGCTTGTCAGTGATTCTTACTAGAGCTCTCTGTCCCTGCGACGCACGTGAAACATTATTAGATTAGCGCGAAATGTCAACATTTTAACGGCAAATAAGATGGCATGAGCGGGACATTCCCACCCAGGACAACCTGAAAGATCTCCAGCTCTCTTTCAACCACAGAGAAATCAAGTAGAACAATGTTTTCTCATGTGTGACAGGCAGTGTAATCAGAGTCCGCCTTTCTGGAGTCGAGCGAGCAGCTTTTGCTAATGCGCCTAACGATGCGCAATCAGTTTCAACACGTCTACAACTAAATAACAGCCGACAAACTGACTGGGACACTGTGCTATTTGCAACGACATTGTACGAGCACTTACAGATTCAAAACAACTCATTTCGAAACACTCACAGAACTGTGGCAAAGCGCTTTCTCTTCAGAAGCTCCGTTTCACGCACCCAACTACTTGGAATATGAACAACTTGGAGCTTGTTGGTGATGTTTACCTTTGCGCAGCTGTGTTGGCATCCAGTATCCCCGCGCTCTGCATCCAAGAGCGCACCGGCGTCATGCCACTCGTAAGGGGCTCTTCTTTCATGGTCAAGGCTCCCCGTGGGAGACCGTCCTGGATGGAGAACATGAAAATAGCCTTCTGGGGGATGTCTTTCTACACCAGCTCGAGTGGAATAATCCTCCTGCACCACCTGGATTAACAAAAACCAACTGAAAGGGAAAAAAAATCTTCCCCCAAAGTGCAACAAGGGGAAAGAGGTCCTTATCCAAAGACGCGCTGCCGTATCCCTTTGGGTGTTCCTCTTTCTTTTAGATTCCAAACCCAAGTTCAGTTCACTCAAGATTAACCGGTCTCTAGTTAAAAGAGGGTGGAGAGAAGGCAAGAGCTGTGGAGCATCTCAAAGGAAACGATCAGCCGGGATCAAGCAGACCTTCTCGTCGCGGGGAGAAAGAGGGGAGAACGCGAACTTGCTCTGAAGAAGAAGGCGAACAGACGCGCACGGGATTGTGAAATGAAAAGTGGGATAAAACGGGCGACTGCTTCAAAAAGGAGTAAAATGAAATGATTACCAAACAAGAGGGAGGGATGGACCAGGGAAGGCTTGCTGTCCCTGGGGAAAAGAGGGATTGGGTAGCAAGAAATCTCATTCCCTCCCTCCCCGTCTCTTAATGCCTCCTGTGTCCCAGCGGAGCGCACCTTCTCTCGGGTTCCGCGGCTCCAGAGCTCTCGGGGGGGACAAGCGTGGACTTGACGAGGGCGGAGACTTGTCCTTAAAAGGCAAAGTCATTTACATGTCAATCTCCGTTCCGAGCTCTGATTGGTCACGGTCATCCCTTGCGTCATTTTCAAAATTGGCCGCAAAAAACTCAGCTGATGTTAGAGGGACTGAGCGCTCTGCCTGTGGAAGTGGTCTCGTGCTTTCCAGATTTAACCTGACACTTCCCTTTAATATCCAGGAACATTCACGATGCATTTCATCTATCATGATTAAAATATAATCGACTTGGATATATCGTTTTCCAGAAGTCAAATTTGTCTAAAAGTGCAGTCGATGTATGATTTGATACACAGTGAGTGAATGAGGATCCATAAGCATAATGGAAAGGCTACTATAAACTAGCCTACTATACATTATGTTTCCACATATGGCAAAGCGCAGTAATATTCTGTAACACTGTCAAATATTATTATTAAACAGTGACATCTCTTAATTTTGTAAAACCTTGAGGAATGAAGTTGTCCTCCTGACTATAGGACTATGCATGCCTCCTGCTCGATAAATTAGAAGAAATATTCAAATTTGAGAAACCACAGGGTTATTAGCAGCTGCATGGACTATAATAACGATAGCAATCATCATAATATTATTATTATTAGTCCGCCTGCAATGCAAATATAAAATAAATGAAATAAATTATATTAACAAAAGTTAGTATATAATTTGGGTCAAATTAATCCAGTAAATCAGCTAATGTTTTTGTTCATATACACATTATTATCCCAAAGAAATTTTGAATTGTGCCTTGAATTAAGGGTTTTGGGTGTTCTTTTGCATTATTTTGAATTCCACCAAATGATGCCTGATTAAATATTTATTACAGATAGCCATTCAGAGCTCACAGTCAGAAAACGACCAAGTGGGATTTAAGAAAAAAAACACACAAACAAACTCAATTTCATCTAAAAAAATATTATTGACTAAAGCAAATAGTCCCCGTATAATGCAGTCATTTATTCCCCCACAAAAAGAAAAGTTTTTTTCCCTCGGATCCATCATACCTTACACATCATTATTATTATTAAATAATAACCGTGGGACTTTTTGTGTAATTATTTTGCTATAGCATATTCACATATCACTCTTCGTAAAAAAAAAAAAAATTATATATATATATATATATATATAATTTTTTTTTTTTTTACAAAAGTATTAGCCTATCTTGCTTATGTTGTCTGAAATGTTGCGTCCACGTCTCATTCAAAGACAAAAAACTTGAAGCGGCAGAAAAGCAGCCCGGTGTTCATAAAGTCTTCTACAAAACAACACGATCCCTCTCTGCCCTGAACTGGCTCAAACGGAGCATGACCCCTGACCACTAATAAAAACATATTCTATTCTATATTTGAGTGGAGGTTGAAGGTCAATAGTCATCAGAAGAAACTCATGTTGGGTTACATGACGAAACTAAAACATAGGCTACAAGACGGTCTATATAAATATTCTTTTCTATTCTATATTTTAGAGGAGGTTAAAGGGTCAATACTCAAAACACAGCATCTGCAACACTTCGAAACACAACATGTTACACATAAGACATTGACAGAAAGATTCTGTGTCTCGTGCGCTTTTCGCAACTCTCCAGACCCGTGATAAATATTTCCGCGACGTCTGACGTCTGAAAGCCCTAGATTTTTTAAGTAGAAAATTATTTTCTAATACCTATTATTTTCGATTGTTTGGGAGTCTATCAAATGTTCATGTCTTATATATGTTCATTGATGGCAAGAACATGTAGGCTAATTTTATTTTACTCTATATTATTCCCATAATATTCCGCGGAAAGGACGCTGTCAAATGTTAAAACATCATGTGAGCCGTTCTAAATGCACGGACGGGTTGTAAAAGTTGCTATTGGAGTAATATTCCTTGATACAATATAACATATCCGGCTGACATTTTGCTATACGAAAAAACTCTTGAAGGCTATATTTGCATTCTAGTTTGGAATGCACAATTTATCAAATATCAATGAACATATTTAGGGGAAAACGAGATAAGTGCAAAGACATTTTTGAATAGTTTTAATGTCTCTAATGGAATTTATCTGAAATGTATCTTAAACAAAAATCGAGAAAAAGCACTTAATGGGTAGCCTATCTTGTCTTTTCGCACACATGTAGCTCAGGTTAATTGAAGTCACTATCTCAGTCCGGACATCTTTCTGTCAGATTCAAGCGGTTGTTTCCACCTAGTGGCCATCAAGTAAAAATAAACTAACAAAAAAACAACAACAACAACAACAACCAATGTTTCTTGCCAGGATATTCATCATCAATAATCATGAAATTAGCTCGAGCATCTAAACACTTAATGGTGTTCTTCAAGAAGTCAAGAGAAAATCTGTATTTTTTTCTATTAGGCCTACTTATTTTATTTTCTATTACTCCTTTCAAAAGATGGTTTCTTGCAATCTTTTGAATCACCTTAAATGTGCAACGACTAATATTAAACCTCAAGAGTTTACATAATTACCGGGGTCTTATGAGATCAGAGATTCAGCGGCTTGCAACGTCATTTTATGGATAATTTATTTTATTGTTTATTTATAAAAGCATGTGAGCTTGTCTGTTATCAGCAAAAAAACAATACAATTACAGTCTGTTTAGAATCAGGCTGAGTGCTAATTGTCACGTCATGCTTGCAAGTAATATGCAAGCATGCAAGTTAGTAATAATTATTAAGATTGTAACGTAATTCACAGAACTCATGACACCTGAGTAGTAAATAAAATAAGTACACTACTGAACAGACACTATCAGGACCATGCTATTATTTTGTTTGTAAGGTAAAGAGCTCCATCTAGTGTTCTAACAACGACCTTACTAGAAGACCTGAATGCAAGCAAAATAACATCACTGTAAAGCGACATATTTGAGGAAACATTTGGGTTTTCTCAGAATGCCACACTGGCAGGACCCTCCTTTGCAGACGATAGTGTCAATAGTTCCTCCATGCAGTAACCCCATTAAAAAAAGGAAATGTTTTGAGGTCACAATAGGATAAGACATTTAACACAAGGGTTACAAAAGGTTCTACAGAGTTTTATCAGTGTGGCAGTCCAAAATATTTACATGTCATATTATTATACTGTAGTGTCACTTTCATCCATCCATTATATTCTTTCAAAATTCTAGTTTCGGTTTAAAACTCATGTTTTTTGCTATATTTAATTACATGCTTGTAAGATCGGAATACCCCCATAAGTTGTAAATAGATGTTTTTTAACATGCTCATTCACTCTTATGGACACTTGTGCACTCAGAGGTTTGCATATATAATGTATAAAGTCAATCAATATATTGTATGTGGTGTTCTGATATGAGGAGACAAAGTCCTCAGACTGTTTTTGTTTTTTACAAATCAAATGTAAATTCATGTCCCAGTTACGCTTAATGCTGTCACATTTTCCTGGTTAAATATGACTTTATATTACATAAAAAAATACAATTCTATTTTTTACATTAATAGTGTAATACATTTTTATTACTGTTCATTAAAACCAAGTATAAATCTCATACTTGCATGTACATGTATTCCAAAACATTAACTAAAGGCAGCAACAAATTAAGTAATATATTTTATTTGTGAACTGATGTTCAGCAGTTCTTTTTAACAGTTAACTTATTTTATGATCATCAGCTCGGTAAACACTGGTCACAGACACGAATATGTAGCTTTAATTTCACCAAGCTGATTAATCTCATACTAAAAACCACCACAGTCATCATGTTTCCGGGCTATTTCAAGTTTGATTTTGACATGACAAAGCAGTGATTTTTACGTGGCTGAGCTGTTTACTTAATTTTTCCATTAGCCTTCCCATTAACGCTATAATTCTTTTCATTCAGACTGATTCGCAAACGCAGAACGCGCACGAAAACAAGAGACGGGATCCAATCACAGCTAATCATAACCAATCATAACGCGATAACACTCCTCTCATGTGACTTTCCCCCATTCATCCTCAATTACATCATGCAACACATGCATTAGGGGGTCTGTTAAAACTCAATGGGCTCAGGGGAAGCAAGAGAGTCACAGACCACCGCTGTAACTTTACCTGCGGGTGTCGCTGTTGGACAGTGTTGGTTTAGAAAAAGTGATTTATACACTTTTTAATGTCACATTTTGTAATATTTGCATTGTTTTATTTTTGTAATATGGATTTTTTTTAGGAGGCACTGCCTCCCTTGACTCAGAAGAAACGCCCCATATATAGTCAAGTGCTGTCAAATCGATAAATCAATTCTAAAATAAAACTGTGTTTATAATACATATATATATGCATGTGTGTGTACAGGTTTGGCCATAATTGTGCAGGCAAAATATCCTCAGTTATATAGTGAAATAAAATGACAACCTACTAGTGATGACATTTTACTTTTCCTTACTAGTTAAAAGGCTTATAAATAAGGCAAATAGTGTTTATTTAAATCTAGTGTTTTGCACATGTTTCTGTGATGGTTTAGGTTTAGGGGTTGGGTCATAGAAAATATAATTATCCCGATAAAATCAATGGAAGTCTAAGTGTGTGTGTGTGTGTGAGTGTGTGTGTGTGTGTGTGTGTGTGTGTGTGTGTGTGTGTGTGTGTGTGTGTGTGTGTGTGTGTGTGTGTGTGTGTGTGTGTGTGTGTGTGTGTGTGTGTGTGTGTGTGTGTGTGTGTGTGTGTGTGTGTGTGTGTGTGTGTGTGTGTGTGTTTGATGTATGGCACTATAAAGGGTAATAAACAGAAACATATATATATCCCTTGTTAACATATAACCTGTATCCCTTGAAAAGCAAAAGAAGGAAGTAAAAACAAACGTTTTTACAATCAGGGGTCACAAGAGAATCAGAACTAGTTTAGCTGGTAAACCCTTTCAAAACATTGAAAGCATTGATTGTAAATTCCAGTTTAAACATGAGGGATGATTTACTGCTGTACATTCTGCTGCATAAAACAAACTGCTTGCGAGTCTTTAACGTTTCCTTTAAGATAAAGAGCACCATCTAGTGTGAAAATCATGAACATGAACCTGTTGTAAGATCATGAACGTAAAATATCGAAGACAAAATATACAAACCTTCCTTCTGTTTCATTGCAAGATACAGGTAAGACTGGTGTCCACTTGCAATTCCTGCAAACAGAACAAACATGCCTGTAAACTCGTTTTGCTGTTGTTTATTTTGACCTCTTTCCTTGATTATAAATGAAATTCATAAACCACCTGAATGTTTTAGAAAAGTTTTTATACATTATGTAAATAAAAGGACTGGATATAATTTCCAATTGTTCGAAACTAACAATTAACTTGATAACATTCAAAATTGACATAAACTGTCTTCTATTTACACCTTCAGCATAAACTCTTGAGGTCCTTATTTAATATCAATAAATCGTTGCACATTTAAGGTGATCTAAATGATTGCAAGAGACCATCTTTTGAAAGGAATGTCATAGAAAAAGAAATAATGAGAAATGTCTAACATGTCAAACTTGAAAAACTAAAAATTACAAAGTGATGTAATGTACTGGGTCATAAAATAAGCAAGTAATTAAGAGAAAATCCATTTTATGCACAGTCTGTTATGTGAAGAGTTTATGTACAATATTTTAATAATCATAATCAACTGCTGCCAATCAACACATTCTTATAAAATTGATATTGACGAACAAGAAATATATGACCTTGTCACTTAAATATGAAAATTAACAAAATATTTCAACAAAGCAGATTTGAGTAAACGTGCTAAAAGAATGTCTCCTATGCTAACTCTTCCTTCAATGGCAGGTTGAAATCTGCTCAAGCCTGTTATGTACAGTAGCATGTCATGTATTACATGTTGCATAATTGCTGGCACAAGTAGCCAAGCTACTAATTTACAATAAGCTGACTTTGCAAAATGACGCGCATGGCATGTCGAACATTCCCTCCATAAATGTCATCATGTAATGCCCTCTACCTCGCCTAATCTATATCATCATTGCCCTGTGTGTCATATACATATGGCGTTTTGTGATCTTGCAACTGCAAACAGTGAGCAACACAGAAAACTGACTGACTAACCGTTAAAGTTGAAAGTAAACGCTACAGCCACGTTCCACTCACCCGTGACCCGCGCAACTGACGCTTACGCATGCGCACAGAGAGACAGATATAAAGAACCTTATATTTAATACTAAAAACTGCAGAAGCAGTAAATAAAGCAGGCAGAAATTCTGAAACGCCTCCACAAGAAGAAAAATATAAACATTGTAATTGATTTAGTCTTTATCTAATTGCAGACACCTCAAGAAGGACCGTGCACAACTGACAGAATTGTTAAGGGCCAAGTCCATACTAGAGATTTATAGCAAATTCCTGTCTCAAGATTTTGAAAGATAGCAAAGTACCGAGATAGTATATATAGCCTATGTTTTGAGATTGTACAATTTCCACAAGAATAAATAAATTAATCTAAAGATCGAAATCATACCAAATATGCAATTCTCTTTTAAGACCCCCATGAGGATGTTCTGCAACATTTATATTGGTATTAAGAATGTGTCATATTTTTACAGCTCACAGAAGGGTTAGAGCACAGTATTTAGGTCAATGTAAATTTAAATTCCAAAGATGAAATTGTTCCTGCAGCTCACAAAATTTCTGGCAAGGGTATGACAAAATAATTTGAGGTCTTACTGACCAACCAGGGACCTTCTGCCAGATGATGATTGACAGGCCCTGGAAGTCTGAGGCCTCAGGAAACTGGCCCCAATGACCAAATCTAATAGTCCAGCCATGGTTGTCTGTGATTGTTCAGAAGGAAGGAAGGAAGGAAGATGCCATCACTGCCCCTTTTTTAGCGGATTTCACAATGAGGTTCTCTTCTCTGGCTATTGTGTTGTGTGTGTATTTATGTAATCATGTATTTTTATGTTTTATATAGGTTTACATTATGGAACAATAAATTTGACTTTAAAGTTGGCATGAAACAGAATTTGCGATAGTCTTTTCGTGATGTATATCCGAGTGAAAATGCTTGTAATCAAGAAAAATGTAGGCCGGGACTTAATTTTGTCCATCTGAAATTGATTGGGTCATTGGATGGTTGTGGTTTGCTAATGCAGTGATGTCATGTGAGTGACAGGTTGATGCAAGATGGCTGCGTCAAAAAAGCCTACTCTCTTCAGTAGGCTACTTATTTTGAGTAAGTAGGCTAATTGCCTAATTACTCAACAGCCGCCTAAAAAAAGTATGTTTGGCTATAGTGTGTGAATGGACGTAGCCTGGCTATGTCTGCAATACTGTCATGTGACCTTCCAACGTCAGTTTTGTGGCTTTACTGCCATTCATCCTCTCCCGTGGTCCCTTGCAAGGCCCTGTCCCAAATGGCGCACTTCATGCGGACTTTCGGTCTTGTGGACTTAAATTGCGAGTGCTCGCCGAGTCTACGAGTCCGTAGGCCGTCCCATTTAGCATTTTAACGCTCTGAAGTGTGCTCAGCAGCGCCCCCTTTGTACCCTTGAAGCGGTCTTCCGCGAAGCCCGCATAGATGCAGGCTCCACGCACTTTAACTACCCAGAAATCCTTGCAAAAGGCCAATCAGACAACAGATGGGAGGAGATTCTGCTCACGGACAATTGTTAACATGGCTGAGAAGAAAATATTTAAGTGTAATTATCATTATGGTTTTTATGACAAGTTTATACAAACATTATGATCATCGGCCAGTGGTTGATGTCTCAAACATAGGCTAATAATAGCGAGCTGAATAATACGATCGCATTATGATTAATTAAATAAATAGAACAGAATGTCAGGGCTTTACTGAGTCATATGTAAACACAACAACAATAGGCAGCATATTTCCCCGAACCTGTAGCTCCTGTCCATAACAACAATCAGACCGTCTTCCTGTTTCCGGCGTGACGATCGAGTCTGTCCCAAAAATACCTCTCAATGCGCCCTCGCGGACTCGCGCTAAGGGCCCTATAGGTCTGCACTACATGACGTTACCAAAGTGTGGACTCTGAGGAAGTCCACAAGTCCGGAGTGTGCCATTTGGGACAGGGCCCAAGTCCAGATACTTTTTGCCTACTCTTTATGAGTAGCATACTGTGAATTCAGACATAGCCTGTAGACTTCTTTTGTCACATAGGCCTAGCCTACTGTTTTTTGCCTACTAGCCTAGTAGGGAAATATCCGATTTTGTATGCAGCCGTTGTTGCAAGAGGGGAAGTTATATTTTGCTTAAATATAAAGATAAAAAGATTTTAAAAAATAATGATGAATTAAAAAAAAATAATGATGTGCAGATATTTAAATATAATTTATAATAAATACGGCAATGTTCCATAAAAATTAAGAATTTTCAATTTTGATTTCATTGAGACTTTAACTTGCTGTCAGTAGGCACTAGGTTTTGAGACACAACCACTAAAAAGAGAGAAAGAGAACCCTGACACAAATCCTCATATTTTGTAAGACTGTTTCGTAATGCCTTTTCCTCTTTGTTATTTACTGCTTCCAGCATTTAACACAACATTTCCGTAAACTGATGCTGTGCGTAGACGTCAGGACAGATAGAGGGAGTGAGAAAGAGGACATTTTGTAGAGAGAGAGAGAGAGAGAGAGAGGAGGTGGAGACACACACATACCTATACAAGTGTTCAGTATTGATATACAGGCCTTTTCGTTCATATTCAATATAACTTTCATTCTAGCCAGGATTATTATCGCTCGAACAGCTGGGATTCCGTTGGTCCATTTTAACGGCTTATTTTGTTCGTTTCCGTTTCGGTCTTTTCTGGTTTCTGTTGGATCTTTAGTGTCTGGCTAGCGAGCACAGCTAACCGCAGCTAGCCGGATAAATCTCCTCTTTCCTTGGCCTCAGGAGCCCAGTACACTCACAGAATGGCATTAAAACGAATTCACAAGGTAAACTATTACATTTTATGTTAATAATTTTAAATTTACTGGCCAAACCCTTTGGTTTTTCGCTGGATATCTTATAGAAAGATAGCCTATGTTAACAAATGCTATGAGGATAGCAGGCTTGGCTATGAAGGTAAGGCTGTTTTTGTTTTATCATGTTTAGTATTATGTATTATAGTATTATTTAGTATTATGTATAGTATTATGTTGTTGTTTATTGTATTATTGTTACCTCAAAAAGGAATGCCGACTTTTTTTATTTATCTACGTTATCTATCTATCTATCTATCTATCTATCTATCTATCTATCTATCTATCTATCTATCTATCTATCGATCTGTTAATTAATTCATTACATGTAGGTTAATACCCATAAAGACAGATGCCACATTGTAATAGTTAAAGCTAAAATAACTATACGACATTCCTAATATTACTGGTTAAAAACAGAGGAAATACTGGAATCAGATTTTAGAAGGTGGATGAGGGGGATTTTATGTGGATGTCTTTCCTCTGTGAGTCACATCCAGGTAAACACAACCTTATGGGATTTCTCATGTTTGAACACTCATGGTGTTGGTTCAGGCGAATGATATTTATGAATCATCTCAGCCACAGAAGTACTGGTTGGGACTCCTATATGGGCATATAATGCTGCCTTGTTAGTTCTTTGGGTTGTTCTTGTCTCTTTTAATAGTGATGTTCTTTTATTTTGGTAAACGCAACAAGAACTTTGCGTCATTGCTAGAAGTGCTTCCTGGAAAGCTACTATGAGCACATAATACTCCAATCAGAAATATCCGGCCCATACCAGCATGAAGTAGTTGCACAATAGTTGTTGAACTTGGCGAAAGGATCATTTTCACCTGTTTCGCTGACTTTGAGAGCTTCTATGAATTAGACTGACACAGCAGATTGTTTGCAGGCAGACGGCCAGATACTTACTGAGTTGGTCCCACTTTCTGTGACTTGTTGTACCCATATCAATCAGTTTTCAGGGCTTTGGGTCGTTTAATAGGGAAATGAAAAGTATGGCAGATATTGAAAGATGAGCTGAGAATTTTGGAACAGCAAATGCCAAGTGGCCACACAGACGACTGGTTGAAAATACCAGCAACGTGCAGACCTATCTCAAGTGGGAGGGCTGGTTTATTCCCCACACCCTCATCTGAAGTATGCAAGCGTAAAAATAGCTGCCACTGTTAGTGCTGATGTTCACACTGTCCTATATTGGTTGGCTGAATTGGTGTCGTACATTGACTCTCGTAAAGGCTTCCTCCACACATGTCATCCAGGCAGCTTTAAGGATGGCAATTTTTGTTGATCTGGCATTTGTCTGTCAATTAACAATAAGCTGAAATGTTATTTACACAGAATGGCCTTGAGTCAACTTTGTTGTTCTCGTGTGGCTTGTGACTGACTTTAGTTTCTAGTTTAGACTGGTTAAGTTCCTCATTAGTACCTCAGAGATGAATCTCAGATCCATGTTGTTTGATTATTTTGCTTCTCGCAACAAAGAGTTTCTTCAACTCGTTTCAACAAGTTAATACAGCTAAATTATACCATTTTTTTATTGAATTCAGAATACATTTTCTTATTATATTCTTATTTTTATATTATAATTAATAATACAGTGTTTAATGTCAAAAAGCAGAAATAAATTTGGTTCTTCGGGACAATAATGAGGTATGATACCGGTTAAAAAACAATATCAGTCTGTGGTTTTAATTTTTACTCGTAATCTTTCAGGTCTGAGCAACTGATGTTCTCATAGGCATTTGTATGTTCGTCAACTGGTTTTGTATTCAGAGATGTGCAACCTGTCAACAGTATTATGAACTTAAACAGTGAGTCTACCTGTATTTGTTTTGATGTTTCCATCTCAGACTTTCTCATCATCAAAGAAAGCTCTGACCTCTACTTCCTGTATGGTCACATGTTCACATGCACAGGCAAGTGCTGCCAGAGGGTTGCCTGCACTTCGCATTCATGAATTCTCAGAAACTTGCTATTTTCTCAGAAGTGGTTTATATAGGCTAGTCACTGTATTTTCCCATAAAGAGAGACCGAAAGATCTAGAACGGTAGTTATTTCCTTGTTGTCTAAATGCCTAGGTGTGGCCAGAGATCAGAAAACTAGTTTATTATGCCAACATTCTTCATTACTTAAACCAGTGCAAGTGTACTACGCCTTATTAGAGGTGTGAATATTTACTTGCCACAGGATTCCATTCTTTTCCTCCAATTCTTTTATTAATAATTACTACTGTATTAATAATCACAATATAGTTATTTTTTGTTATTTTATCTTTATTGAAAATAATAACAAAGATGCAAATAACACAGTAGAACAAACACAATATAAGAAACAAATTAAATTAACAGTGCTTTACTTTTTTTCATTTTACATCCATTTAACAGAAGGATTCAGGAAAGACATAATACAGAAATATTATAATCAAATTTAAAAAATCACTGCATAGTCTTTAGTCTATTAATTACAAATAAGTGGATTATTAAAGCTACAAAAGTTATTCAGTCAAGAGCAGTGAGTGTTTCCGTCTTTTCTTTTGGTGCTTGATTGACCTAATGCACGGATTTAATATAATGTTACACACTTTATTTAAAATAAAACAGCACGTATTATTATAGGCCAATTCAATTGCATTTATAAAAAATCGGTTCTTTTGTTTTTATGCATGGATGCAGAAATGTTCACAGCATCACTATGCATCATAAAAATTATTCTCTTCCACAGCTAGGCCTATACACCTTGTTGTGAACACTTTGACCCTATTTCACCTAGAAATCTAGCCAAAGCAGAAACACTGAAATCTGTGCTACCTGAAGACCTTGATCAAGTGCTGATATTGTAGGGAGTTGTTTGGAGTGGACAATATTGGTTTATTTAGGCCTATGCCAATCTTAACATGATTTTTACTAATTATTTTTGTATATTTTTGTTTTTGATGCAATAATAATAAATTATAACTAAAGCAATTGTACTGCAATAATATAATCTACACGATGCTAATATGCATTTATTATTTTTTATCATTATTAAAATAATGCTTAATAATAACATTCATTGTTTGCATAAAAAATACAGTAGATATTGTGAAATATTCAAGTTTTAAATAGTTGTTTTATATTTTAACATAATTTAAAATGTAATTTATTCCTGTGATTAATATTTTTCCAGGATTCTTTGATTAATAACTTCAAAAGAATTTATTTGAAATATAAATCTTTTCAAATATTATAAAATGATGAGTTTTTATAATGAGAGATTTTCTTTTGTTGAGAGAGTGTGAACTTGAGTTTTGTTTCCCAACATTTTAAATCTAAGAACCAACTGCAGACTGTTTGAAATGTTTATTGGGGCAGCGTGAACTAGCCATTAGACCAGCTCCAAAATCGTGATCAAACACTGTATCGTTTATAGAATGTATATTTGGTTGTTGTGTGTGGCAAAAGAACTTCAATTGGTTTGACTTTATAATAACCCGTAAAGAAATGAAAAGGCTGATTTCTTTAATATCGGGTCATAAAGTCTGGTCACGGTGATTTTTGCCAAGTAAGACATGGTCCTGGATCAACATATTTTGCTGATCCTGGAGCAACATTCCTGTCCAAAAATGTAGTCCTAAGCCTATCCCTATCCCTAAACCTCACCCATTACTTATCCATGAAAATAAGAGGGAAATGATAGTAGAATAACACTGATGTAGAAGCACCTAACCCTGGTTGCAATTCTAAACTTGACATAAACTGTAAACTTGTCCCTCACATCTGATTGGTTGATTGGAATGTACTTGGTGAAATCACATATACTCATAAAGTATATTAACCAGGTACAAGGGGATAGGCAACAGACTTCTCTGAATATGACATATTCTGAGACTAAAATCAAAACGGTTTGAAGTGATCCTTAGATTTTTTGCTGAACTCGCTGGCGTTTGTGGTTTTTAGGTGATTGTGAGGAAACCAAAAGAACATTTTGCTCAATCATCTTCTGATGTTCTTTGTAAAGTTACATTAAGACATCAGGACTGTCATTTCCTGCCTGTTTTTTCAAGAGTTGAGAAAGCTGTGAAATTAAAGGATAATCTGTCCACTGTTCTTATCTTATGACACATGAGTCTCCGCTCTGATTGTTCTCCTGGGTCAACAGTTTGGGCCTCGGGGACAGAAGTGCGTATAATTGTGACAGTTAATTAATTGCGTGTTATCTGTCTGGAAGAGGAATGCATCTGGATTAAAATGAAAGGACTGAAATCTAGATTTCAGCTGTTTAAATGGCTAAATGTGAATTATAGTAGAACCAGATAACTGACACAAGGACTGATAATGTACTTGGAATCAAAACCCGATTGCTTATCCAGTACATTAAAAGAGACGATCAATCAGAGCATGGTACATTATAACTGGTGTAATGTCTTACTTGTCCTGATAGTGGAATAAGACTCTTGTTGTAAAAACGAAATTATTATACATGACATTATGAACCAGCTGTGCAACTTCCTTGACACACCCGTGATGACTGAACGTTTGCACAGACTGTCTTGTATATTGCTTAATTGCTTCAAACCAAGTAGGTGTTTGGCTATTCAAGAAGATTTTCCATTTTACACATAGTCCTACTGTGTAAGAGATGTAATAGACAATTTTTTGACACGTTCCATGTAGACTCTGAAATAAAATGAGGTTATAAAGCTGCATGTATAAGAATTATGAAAGTTAAAATAATTTAAGATTCAGTATACAGTAGCATGTCACAGGAAATGTTACCTTCCAAAAGTCAACTAGCTTTATATAATTCTATCAATAATTTGTATAATTAATTATATAAAGTAAATATGAGCATTTTTTTTATCATAAGTGACATGAAACATGGGAGCAATGGAAAAGGTATTTTTCATTTTGCCATTTTACCTCAGGAATGAAATGTATGGAAACTGTATTGATGGATGAAAGATGACATAGTTGATTGGATACCCAGAATTAAGAAGAAAATAAAAGATCCTGTCCAATACTGATGCATCCTCTCTGTCTTTAGGAGCTGACTGATCTGGGCCGGGACCCCCCAGCGCAGTGCTCAGCAGGGCCGGTTGGAGATGACTGTGAGTGATTTTGCTGTTTGTTTTCATTCCCTGTATCCGAGCGCATCACAGAGCCCACCGTAATGAGACGTTTCTTGCTCTTTATTTACAGTGTTTCATTGGCAAGCAACAATTATGGGACCTGTGAGTGGATATATGTCCTTATTTGCATATGCATGTTAATGATGGATTGTGGCATTTATTTGCATGCAGTGTCTGTACTGTTATAACACTGAATTCACTAAAGGAGTCACGGAAATCGTGTAACATTGTTCTGTTGTTTTTTTCCCCTTTTTCTTTACAGAATGACAGTCCTTATCAAGGGGGTGTGTTTTTCTTGACCATTCATTTTCCTACAGACTACCCTTTCAAACCACCTAAGGCAAGAATCAAGTATTTAAATAACCTTCAGGTTTAATCTGTCTGTAAAGAGTCCATTCTAATGAGATTGTCAAGTTTTTTATTTATTTTTTGGGCTCATAAAGCTCAGACTACAGGAGTTTCAAGCCGATTTATGGCCGATTTACCCCTCCTGACATTACCCCTCCTGACACAAAAATCGCGTTCAGGGCATCAGTCGGTTCCAATGTTCGGCCCAGATTATCTGGTAATGTGAAGCGTTTACAGATCAAATCTCAAGCCTCCTGATCTGCTTATCAAACATGTTTGATATTTAGGATTTTAAATCAGGATGATTATGACTATGATTATGGCAGTACTTCCACAATAGCTAATGAGAGACAAGTCTACAAGGAGAGAGAAGCGACGGGACTTTTGAAATGGCGACCGCGAAACAAACAGCTGTGAGGGTTCGGTGGACAACAGAGATGGAGGAACGGCTGGTCGAAATGTGGCAACAACACAACTGCCTTTATAATGTCTCCTCATATAATATCTACAGCATGTTGCCGCAACACAGTATCCATTTTGTTTACATCCTCTTCCCCGTGAGATCACGTGAGGTGCTAAAGCTGGCATGATAATCTTAAGAATATCTTGTCTGTGATGCACCATGATTTTTAAATCTTGTAGTGTGTGCAGGTTTGAGATTTGAAAGAAGAAAATCGGCGAAGATTCTCCTTTTGAGCGTGATGCAACCAGATTTCACAATCGGTTAAGATTTAAAAACTCCTGCAGTCTGAGCCTGGCTTTAGCAGTATTTTGCACGTAGTCCGGTTCCACAAGAGAAACCTGCTGCTATTCTAGAGATCTACTGTAAAATATCAATTGGTAGGTTTGAAATGTATGCGGTTTGACCGTCTGTTTCACCCTCTAATTTGCAGGTTGCTTTCACCACAAGAATTTATCACCCAAATATTAACAGTAATGGCAGCATCTGTTTGGATATTCTAAGGTCACAGTGGTCTCCTGCGTTAACTATCTCTAAAGGTGAGTCAATTAAAATTAACAGGGACCAAAATCCTTTGACAAAGTCATTTTATTGGATAGCCAATAAACTGTATGCACTGATATTGTTTATGCCATGTGCCAACCTCTCTCTTCTTTCTGTTGCAGTTCTATTGTCCATCTGCTCACTGTTATGTGATCCAAACCCAGATGATCCATTAGTGCCAGAGATAGCACGTATCTATAAAACAGACAATGAAAAGTAAGTGTATTTGTTTATCTTGAGCCTTATAAATAAATCCAGGCTGTTTGTTCTTTAGCTGATGTAAATAATAGAGATGTCATATAGATAGGGGTGTGACAAGATCTTGTACCACACAAGGTCTCGCGATATTTGTCGTCGAGGTGAAAAGCTGTCTCACGATATCAGGATGACGGAATTGAGTTTGTGGCAAAACCTTTTACAGTGCTTGCATACTGGGCTGTACCCACCATTGAGGTCCGGACTAGAGCCCGACCGATATGGATTTTTGGGGGCCGATACCGATATTAGGGAGTAAAAAAAGCCCGATACCGATATATCGGCAGATATTATTTATGTGTATATTATAATACAGTAGCAATATTATTTATGTGTATTATAGTACAGTATACCAGTCAAAAGTTTGGACACTTTCCTATTGGTGTGTACAAACTTTTGATGGGTACTTTACACAGTAGCTATAAACAGAATAAATATATTTTATAAACACATTTTGCAATGATCACTCAAATGTGGTAATCAAACACTTGTGTGACACAGATATGTAATGGAGGCAGGGGGAATGATAGAATGAGAATTATACAGCTGAGCTGTAACCAAACTAGTTTGCATTGCATGTTATATTATATTATATTCTAAATACTGTTGCAAAATCTTCACTAAAGACTTTGTCTTTTAATTTAGTCATAACTTGTATCAATAAATATATAAAAAGTGTCACTGACAAAACCTTATTTTCTTCTATTTTTACTCTTAATTCCTCTAATCTCTACCAGTGGAGGAAAAACTCAGATCTTTTTACTAAAGTAAAATTAATAATATCATAATGAAAACGTTTTTAATTACATATGTACAGTACTTTTATACCTTTTTAAATAATTAGTAACCAAAATGTACTAAACGTGAAACTAGGCTACTTTAATGCAAAATGGCCCTATATAAAGTGTTATAATTATATACATATTTGGAATATTGCTTGATGTTGTAACGTAGCGTTATCAGGCAGAATGAGCTTTAACACGGTGTCTACACCGGACGCGGCCGTTATTGCTCGCGTCGCAACAGCTGTTTACCCGAGACAAAGCAGAATCAGTTTACTGTCGGAGATCGCTCGCGCCACGCATTTTAATCAATGTTTCATCAACCAATTGCCTTAATAAATAAGAAGTAGGCCTAAATATAGCAGACAATATAATCAGGACTTCTCAGCTGCGCGCTTGCAATAGTCACAAGCTCACACAATACGTGACAGAGGCTTGTAGCAGAGAAATCAATTCTGTGAATTACACCGCGCAAATCACAAGTAGGCTACTACCCACCGGATGAAGAAGGGTTGGCTCTCAGTCTCCTCAGGCTACATAAAATATTCATTTTATTTTATTTTTCGTGTTCGCATTTATGAGGAAAAACAATGTTACAGACGCGACAGTTCAGAACTACGGACGTGAGCGCTCTGAAAGCGGCACTAAAATATGCTTTGAAACTTTCACATAGACATCAAACAGAAAGCACAAAACCTTTCGTTTCAAAGTGAATTTCGTTTTGTATTAATTGTATCTTAATTTTAATCAATGTTTCATCAACCATTTGCCTGGATTTAATTTATAAGAAGTAAATATAGCAGACGATAGATAATCTCGACACGGAGGCGCCTGCGGGTGAACTGGAGCTCGTCTCATGAACCGAAACTCAGCGTATAGACCTGAGAATTGAAATATATCTATATTAAAATGTCTACTTTTAAACAGAACAATTCAAAACGAAAGACAGACAGACTCATGTAATCGTATGAAATGTGCATTTCTCTCTGGCGCGCGCTCACTGAAGATCGCGAGTCAGCATCGTCAACTTCATCTTTGGCTGACACTGACTGAAAACACTTGTTTATTAATAAACAATTAAAATGTCTCCTTGCTATATTTGTTGTATTCATAATCATTACTTTTGCCAGTTCTTGTGACAGCTTTTAGGTGCTTTATTGGCTGCGCCACCCTTACATGAATCACCGCACCCGCATTTTTTAAAATATTCATTTATCGGTTATTATAAATGCCGATACCGATAGTTAGGAAAATGCCTAAAATCGGCCGATAATATTGGCCCGCCGATATATCGGTCGGGCTCTAGTCCGGACCGCTTTATTCTTCTGAAGTGTATATAATAAAGGTTGTAAAATAATTGCCTAATATCAACTCTACTTTGGTGCTGCAAAGATATCACACAACACCAAGATAACCAACCTTCTCATCTGAGCTGCCTCAGCGGTCCAACACCGCTCGTCTATGTCAAAATGTTTGAGATGACCAATCAAATCAAAGTAGGTGGGCTTTAAGTTCACAAAAGCGGCTGAGTGCGAATCACAGCGAATCACCGCTTCAGTTAACGGTCATAGTGCGAGATAAGATGTAAGTAGCTTAACTAAACACTTTATATTTGACCGCTGTTTTATAATAACTGGTAAAGAACTGACAAATAATGAAGGATGCAAAATAATAAACTTTTGTCTAATTTTGCTATTTATTTATTTTTAAATGTATATTTTACGTGATTCATGTAATGTATTTCGTAACTGTCGACGAGACGAAATATTAACATTAAGTCGTTTTCACCAACTCTACTATCAAGCTAACATTTTGGGACCTCTGTATTTACACAACAACACTGTGGTGTTTATAAAAGATGATGATTAGTTAAAACATTACAAAATGCACCTGCATTATATAGCATTTTGTTACTTTCAGTCGAATAAAATACTATTTTTCCAGTCTTATATTTCGGCATTTCTTTTAAAAATAGTGTTAAAATATTGTCTCGTCTTGTTCTTGTGGAACCAATATCGTGTATCATCTCGTGAGCTAAGTGTATCGTCATTCACACCCCTACTTTTAGGTTGTGTGAATAGTTTGATGTTTCCTTTCAGGTATAATAAACTAGCCAGGGAATGGACAGAGAAATATGCCATGTTATAGGGGTTAAGGTGAGCAAGGTATCGTGGGAGAGTGTTTTTGTGTGAGCATGAAAAAGGCTTACTAATCTCTGGACGTCACCATGTTGCAGAATTGTTGGTCACTACTAGTAGGTGTTTATACTACTGGATACTCTGTTATTGATGGTGTTCATAACTGGATGTAGCTTTTTTTAAAAATCGTATTATACTTGAGACATACCGGTACACTACCGTCTAAAATTGTTGGTCCAGTAAGATATTTTTTTAAAGAAATTAACTTATTCAGCAAGGACGCTCTAAATTTATCAAAAGTGACAGACATTTATAATTCATAACCCCTCAATAAATAATAATTTTTAAAAAATAACTATTTAATTTTTTTTTCTTTTGAGCTCTCTACTCATCAGAGAATGCTGAAAAATGTGCAGCAAATCAACATAGAATGATTTCTGAAGGATCATGTGACACTGAAGACTGAAGTAATGATGCTTAAAATTCAGCTTTGCCATCACAGGAATAAATTACATTTTAAAATATATTCAAATAGAAAACAGTTATCTTAAATTATAGTAATATTTCAAAATATTACAGTTTTTACTAAATTTTTCATCAAATAAATGCAGCCTTGGTGAGCACAAGAGAATTCAGACCCCAAACTTTTGAACGGTAGTAAGGCTGGAAAAAATGTCTTTTCAGTTTTTGAAAATGAATTTGTTTTCTTGCTACTGAAATTAACATTATGCATGGGAAATGTTTGCATATAAATTGGATTGATTTGTAATATATATATTGTGTGTGTGTGTGTGCACATACTGTACATATACAGTGTGTGTGTGTGTGTGTGTATATATCAAATTCACTTAGAATGTTGATGATTTCTGAAATGTGTTTTTCCAGAATCATTTTTTATGCATTATTATTTTGATTGTGATTTAATTCATTTTCATGACTTGTGGAAATAAATGATAAATTAGGCTATTTATATGAAAAATTAAGCAGTTTTCACACAAACCAGCCAGTTATGTTTTAAAAAAATGTACATGTTTTAACTTTCAAAGGCCATGCATACAAAAATCAGATCTAAATATGTCTGGTTTTATCATAGGTTTGATGACAAAAGGTTTGGTTGAGGTAAACCGTTCAGGCTAAAAGTAAATACTATAAGTAATGTTTAGAGTAGCAGTGTAGACGTGGAGAAGATGCCACTGTGTTTGACCTTGAGCTGTTTCTGCACTCTGTGTGTTTATGTTGGCCAGTGCCGAGTTGGCAGACGGTCTGCTTACCCAGCATGTGTGACAGTGCCTCTGCACCAATGCCACACTTCATCTCTCTTTCTTTCTCTTGCTCAGGTACAACAGAATAGCTCGGGAATGGACTCAAAAGTACGCCATGTGATACCCGAGGAACATCAGACCAATCTGCAGTTTAGCTGGAAAAAGAATTGAACAACTTTTTTTTCTTTTTTTTTTTCTTCCCCTCAATGAATTGACAGTTCCCCATGTATTCAGACTATATCAGTTCTGCTTGTTTTCTTTTTTTTTTTTTTTACCCCTTTCAACCTTCATTCACATGCTGTAAAAAAGAAAAGAAAAAAAAGACCACAGTATTGCAAAGATCACCAACTTTTATGTTCAGAAAAATGCTCGTGTCAAAGAAGCATGTTTTAACTACGAGCTCAGACCTTTTTTATTGAGATAAGAAAAGAAAAAACATAACTAAGGTGAAACCATCGAACGCTTCTGACTCACGCCACTGGCTAGAGGTGCTATTTCAGAAAAAGAAACAACGATTCTGCAGGTGCCAGCGTACCTCAAAAAGTCGATCTTTTGCTCGGTTGGCCTTCATGTTTTTATATGCTTTTACAATAGCAATGAGAAGAACTATGGTCTGTGAAATATATTCTTGCTTATATCTGACTGTTTCTTACCAAATCAGTCACGTCATTGTATCAGCAGTTACGGAAAATATATATTTTGCATGTTAATGGAACAGTTAAAGTGATTGGTCTGTGGTCTGCCAAAAATGAATATCTGCAGACGATGTTAAGCAAATACATGTCCACTTTTAGAGTCTGAGTACTTATTTTGTTACTCCTTTTCTCTCCTCTTTTTGATGTTTTTAGAATGGGGAGCTATTAGTTTGTCTATTCTCCAAAACACTGTTCTCTCATTGCACTGAATATGTGATTGGAAGCTCTCAATGGATGTCCGATCAACTAATAGCTCCACTAGCTGTTCATTTTGTTTGCTCAATAAAGTTGCTAAACTATCATTTTGTGTTTCCTTCTGTGGTATCACTGAGAGAAGTCCTTTTGAGAACCTTGCATATCTTCATAATTGCACTTTTCATTTCACTGTATTCAATATCTGGGACAATAATGTTACAGGAATGAACGGAATTTGATACTGTAGTTGTTTGACCACGTTGCTAACATGGATGACCTATCGTCCAATTGAGATCTCTCAACAACTGCTGGACTATAATTAGTTCTCTGAAGGAGGAACCCCGGTTGTGAGGTGAACAGCAGCTAACCAACACCATTGAAGTTGTCATTGATGTATATGTGGACAGATGTAGAGGAGTGCCCATGTTCAAAAAGCACAATTAATTGAGCTTTTTAAGACACTTTAAAAAAATAAAAAAGAATCCCGGAGAAACCTGCACAGGTCCAAATTATTTATTTTTGCTGAACTTAGATGTTTTAAAAGGCCTCCCTACCTGACGGTATTACATATGCCCAAAACCTCTTTAAGGATATGGGACCTGTAAACCATTTTAGACTCTTTGTTTCCATGTTCAAAAACAGTACATGAAAACAGGTTCTTCCACAAGTGGGCGCAAGAGGACGTTTTTGAAAGCAAGACATGAACATGAATTACGTCAGGGAATTTCCAGTAAGGAAGTCAAGCCGTCTATTCAAACGTCGCGTTGATCTCGACATGATTTACTGTGATCATTCCCGACCGGCGATTAAAATCGATTGATCGATCGATGCGCCTTTTAACCTCAGTGGGCCTTCTGCATATCCATGTCTGGCAGACGCAACGATCTTCCTGAATAAGGAGCCTGCATTGAACTGACTTTCTATGAGCTTACATTAGTTGACTTCAGCGCAACATGGAGAAATAAGTTGTAACGAATAAGAAAGCTTGACTCGGAATCCCAGATCCCAGCTGTTTGATGTTGATCCTGAACCTCGAATATCTGCCAGGAAAGGTAAGCACCCTCGTAGATCCAGCCATGCTTGTTGTCTTTTTGAGTTGCCCATGTTGCCATCTAAAGGTTGTTGTGATACTTGTATCAAGTGCTGCTGAACTTCCTACTTCTTGCCTCAGAGGCCAAATGTACATTTTAGCTCTCAAGGACTTTTGATAAACTCGTTTGGGTGAGTACGAGCAACTCATGATGCACATTAATAACTTAATGTGTTTTTGATGGAAGTTAGTCAGGATCCGGTAGTACAACGTTTGAGATAAGTGACTGTTATGTGTTGTGCTGGCCGTGTGTCAAAATCTATCAATAAAGACAGTGGGCATCAAGGCGCATTCAGTCCGAACATCCGGAGTTGGTTAGAATTTAAGTTTTATTCTAATTTCAAATCTGATGTTCCAAACGCGCGAGATCTAGTTTGTTTTATATGAGCTTGGATTTATTAGAGTCTAGTGTCAGTAGAGACGAGTAGCTATTGTTTGAGATTTTGATTCATTTCAATAACGCTAAAAATGTTTTGAAACGCCTCAAATAATTTGCTCACTGATTCGTTCAGTGAACGATTCACAACGCCAGTAGAAGGTGGCGACTGCGCGAGACAATTAGAATTTTCTTTTCCTTTGCTGTGAGTGATTCACTTGATCTTTCACTCCGCCGATTCCCTACAAATGACAACAAAACAGATTTGCATTTTCATCCATCGCAACTACTATAAAAAAAGACAGAAAATTATTACGTGCCTGCATCACCTTAAAGGGTTAGTTCACCCAAAAATGACATTCTGTCATTATTTACTCACCCTCATGTCTCCAAACTCGTACTTTCGCTCATCTTCGGAACACAAATGAAGAACTTATTAAATCTGAGAGCTTTCTGTCCCTACATAGACCGCTACGCAACTGACACTTTGATGCTTCAAAAAGTTCATAAAGAGATCGTAAAACTCCATATAATTTGAGCAGTTTTGTCCAAGTTTTCTGAAAAGACTTGATCGCTTTATATGATGAACATATCAAATTTAGGCTTTTATTCATAAACATTGATCAGCGAACATAAACAGATGCTCAACCGAACCTGCTTGAGCGCGCGAGAACAAACCTCATTGGTTCTTGTCAAAGCTCAAAAGAGCTGCGTAACACAAGAATGAACCTCATTGGTTCTGGCGCATCAAGCAAACATGCTTAAGCTTCGGTTTACCACAACTGATGTGTGAGTTGATAAATGTTTAGATGTGAATAAAAACCTAAATTCAATCTGTTCATCATATGAAAATTTAGACAAAACCGCTCAATTTATATTAGTTTTACGATCTCTTTATGAACTTTTTGAAGTGTCAAAGTGTCAGTTGCGTGGACTGTCAATCTCTATTGTGCACATTCCTTAAAGGAGTAGTTCACTTTAAAATGAAAATTACCCCATGATTTACTCACTCTCAAAGGTGTATACGACATTCTTCTTTCAGACGAATACAATCGGAGTTATATTAATAAACACCCTGACGCTTCCGAGTATTATGCTGCGTTCACACCGAACGTGAATTGAGTGTCTGGCGCGATACGGGCGAGTGATTTTATTTGGTGCTTTTTGTGCATTCACGCGTTTGAAGCGAATTCGCATCTGACGCCTGAGTTGAAAAATCTGAACTTTGGCATCTGTTCGCGCCTCATTAACCAATCAGGAGCCTGCTTGCTGCTGTCACGTGGTGAAGTGACGTGATAAACGGGGACAGGCCCGCCCGGAGTCACTTATTCAACATGGGTGATGATCCTCTCTCCGATGCGGGACAACAGGTCATCAAACTGGGCACGGGACAGGCGGAAGTACCGCTGAAAGTGGCCGTCATCCAGGCGCAGCTCCTGGAGCAAATGGTGAAACTCGCCAAACTGGGTACGCCTCCGGAGGGACTTGGTGTGAACGCAGCATGATCATGGCAGTGGATTGCAACCATCTATGGCTCCGGGGAGTTAATAAAGGCCTTCGGAAGCAAAGCGATGAGTTTGTGTTAGGAAATTATCCGAATATTTAATTTTAAGTAAAATTCTAGCTTCCTGCCAAACTGCCATACGCAGTCAACTTGCGTCTAAAGCGCCGCAACTTATGACGTCGGAAGTAGCGTAGTGCATCATGGATAGCTAGTGTAAATAGTGCATTACTCGCATAAATTGCGTTTAAGACTTAAGTCGAATCCGTATGTTCGTTTGGCCGGAAGCTAGTTAACAGTGGCGTAACGAGCCAACACTGGGGCCTTATGCAGGATTATCAAGGCGGGCCCCCCTACTACAACGCGTGATGACGCAATGTCCACGAGCAGGCTAACATGAATAGGACAGGATAGGATCATAGAGACACAGGCAGCATATAAGAGATGAGATGACTGACAAAATCAGGAGTAGCCTACGCGCAAAACAAAAAACAAAAAAACAAACACTGCTGGTGACGGCGCACCTTGACACATTGTTACTCACTGCTATGACTACACACACATAGGCCTAGGTCCAAATACATAAAAAAAGATGCTCACTTACATTATAGCGGCATTTTACGGGTTTCCTCTGTGCAAGTTGTCGAATTAAATCCTTAAGATCTAGATGGCGCGCACAGGCATTCTCAATTGACAGTATGGCAATTCGCTTCACTCTCTTGCTCCATCTCAATCTCGATCTCCCCCTCCTGTGTCATCTTTTTAAACAAGCTTCCTATTTTTGGTAATTTATTAATTAATTTGTCAAATTCCTCTTTTCGTTTGCGCTTTTGAAAGCCACTTTTGTGTTTGTAATTTGCCGACTCCATATCTGTCTCGAGTTTTTTTTTACTGTTTTGCACGCAATACTCATATTCACCCGGGGATTCCCCAGTCACAATTCAAAACAAATTACACCAAAATCCATCATTGTTCGTTTCAAACATGTATTTAATGAACAGTAAAATATGTTGTTGTCATTATCTATTCAAATAAATTTGCGAAAAATTAAAATGCGATCAGACTAAAAGTAGTAAAATGCGATAGGGGGCCCCGCCCCCGGCTGTCAATCAATATCTTCCAGTCACGCGGGCCCCTGATTGGTCCGGGCCCGTAAGCAACCGCGTACCCTGCTTACCGATAGTTACGCCTGTGCTAGTTAATTTACTTTGTAACGTGTTACACAAACTAATCGCTTTGCTTCAGAAGGCCTTTATTAACCCACCAGAGCCATGTGGAGTTCTTTTATGATGGATGGATGCACTTTTT